ATTGGGTTGTGTAAAGAATAGCAAACTGTGCGCTGATAACAAAACATCAAGCTGACTTGGCTGCAGCCATAATATCTCCAAATTCGTTCTATTTTCAGGAGCTTCTGTTTTATTAAGTGCCATGTTGGATCTATCAGAGGGTAATTACAACTTGAAGGTTAAAATAGATGCTAATTATGAGTCAGGAGCTTGTAATTACAATGTCTCTGACGTGACATAAACACAGCGATGCTGGAGCTGGGTCTAGAGAGCCACTACCAGCTGTGTGACTAAAATAAACATCTTTGTCATCGCTTAAACACTAAATGGCTGAGAAGTTGTTTCAGCTTCTAAACACTAATAATATCTGAAATAAATATAATGGCAGTTTATCTAATTGAAGAGTATGATTTGAGTATGTTTTCAAACATTCCATTTGTTGTCTGCCTGGTTTCAGTGCGCTTTTATTCTCAGGAGAGCCAACGCTTCATGCCCTTTAACTCCTCATTCCTTAAATGCCACGTGGTAATATGGGTTCTTTTGAACTATGGGGTTCTGCAAGATTATTACGTTTTGTGTCTACAAAGAAGGGCTACAACTGAAGAGTATTTTCATTGTCATTTAATCAGTTGATTATTTTGTTTATCAATCGATTAGTTGTTTGCTCTGTAAAATGTCAAAAAATGGTGGGAAATATCGATCAGTGCTTACCAAAGCATTAGATGACATCCACAAATGTATTTTTAATTGCACTGTCATAGATTTAGTGGTTAATCTTTAATTGATTAGTTGACAACTAATCAATTAATTGATCAGTTGTTGCAGCTCTAGTACAGCTTCCTGTTTTTACTAGGATCTAATAGCACGTGTTGGTGCCATCATGTTTCTGGTAAACAGAAGAAAGAGAAGAATTGCAGCAGTTGATGTTTCACAGGATTGGATTCAAAAACTATGAGGCAGGTGCATGGCCGGGACTCTTTCAGGGAGCTCTGATGTTCAATGAAATGTATGGTAACTGCATTAAACGATTGATTTGATCTGTTCTGACTCATTTATAATAAAGAGTCACTACATAGACTCAATAAACATTTAGAAAAAAACTGGTGCTAGGAGCCGTGTTGACTGCTGCTGCATGTGTGCGCTCAGCGGAAACCAGCGACATGCTGTAGTGGGGATCATAGATAAAGAAGGAATTGGGTTAGATGAAACATACTGGCCCTCTGAAGCAAAACAGACCAACATAAGAAGATACAAACACTGATACTACTGAGCAGAATGTAATATTACAGGACAGCAACCACCGTTACTTTGAAGAAAAATACATAGGTTTCAACTGTTGTTGGTATCAGGACACGTTAACAGCCTATGGAACTAAGGCATAGGCCATCAGAGCATAATAGATTTTACTAAATAATTTAAGATCAATAAATTTTCTTTCTTTTTTTTTTCACTGACATAGGAGGTGTGTCAGAAAAGCTTCAGGACTGGTTTCACAAAAGACATAGTTCAAATCCAAAACTACAAGTTTCCCCTTCCAAGTAATCCCCCTGGAGTCTAACACATTTCCCCAGCCTTCTCTGCCACGCCGCCATGCACTCCTGGAAGGATTCTTCCAGGATCCTCTGCAGCTCTGTTGTCACAGCTGTCTTGATGTCGTCCACATCTTCAAAACGGGTCCCCTTGATGACCCCCTTGAGCTTGGGGAAAAGGAAAAAAATCCCACAGAGCCAGGTGGGGTGAGGAGGGAGGCTGCTCCAGCATGGCGATGTTCTTCTCAGCCAGGAACTGTTGGATGCTTAGGGCATTGTGAGCAGGCGCGTTGTCATGGTGAAGCAGCCACAACTTGTCCTGCCATAACTCTGGCCTCTTCTCGCACATTGAACGAATCAAATGCCGCAGGATCTCTTTGTAGACGCTCTGGTTGATCGTCTGGAGGGAAAAACTGGTAGTTTGTAGTTTGGGTTTAAAATATATCTTTTGTGACACCAGTCCTGGAACTTTTCTGACACACCTCGTAGTGTCACAGTGCAAGATGAGCACATGTGCAAGTAATAAAATCAATGATGGCTGACATCTGTTCAGCTGCATAAGTTCCCAGATGCCGGCTCACTGTCACACTATTGTGACTTATTAGGACCCTGAAATTGAGTCATCCAAGGGTACCTCATAAAATCCAGTCCAATAACCCAATTAAAACACAGAAATGTATAAATGTGTGCATAATGACACGTTTATCTTAATAAAAATGTCCTGACAGGTCGGATGGAGCTCAGAATTCATCTAGAGACGCTTTAATCCAAATGATTCCACTGTATTAACAGTGTGTGGAACAGCTGACCTGTCAGACGTGTAGAGGAACATGGAACATAAATTACCATCAGACCTCGTGTTAATTAAGGTACTGCTGCTGCACCACGTGCGAAAAAGTGCACATCAGTCTCAATTTAAAGAAGCACTTACTGCAGGTATTTATTACAATTAAAGGAGAGAATCTGACACACAGGCAGCTGTTGGCAGCAAACAGGACTTCGGCAGGTGCGGTAATGTTTTTGCAAAATCCTGCACTAAAATCCTCCTTAACAAAGGTAAACAGTGTGAACTTATGTACCACGAAGCTGCCCGAGAAAATGCTGAGATAAATACATTCACCAGTCACAACCTCAATCCTCTCAGGGATACTCGATCAACAACTTGAGAACAGTTTGATCCACCATTCATGCATGTTTAATGTTGCCTTCACTAAGCTTGAATTCTTCAATGCAACAGAAAGAAAGTGTTTTTAAAAAAATCATGAAAGGAAGGACAACCAGCTTCTGGCAAAATTTCACTAGTAAAGCCTGTATTAACAGAGCTCTAGTTTCAGTATGCAGCTGGGTTGTGCGATGAGAACGTTATCACAGCTTCAGCTTTCTAGGATCAGCAGCAGTTTTACCACCAAGATCTGCATATGTGTTGTCTATACCATGAAAACGTCTTCGGGCTGTTTTACGGGTCGACGCGCAAGAAATAATGAACTCTCTGATGGGTTGCACTGGTGATTAAGGTTTTCATACGTATATACGGTGTTTTATCTTGACAATCGAGGCCAGTGGAAAGCTGACATTAATCTTTAAATGACCCGATTCTGATGGATTCCTGGATTTTTCCCTCAAGTCACGACACTGAGCAATGGACTCATGAAGAATGGGGGAAAGGTCTTGCATACAGGATCAGTATACAGTCTTACCCCCAGGTCGCTTGTCTCTTGTGATACTGTCTCTTTGTAGTTTTCTGAGAATGCGAACTGCTGCTTCAAGTCAGAAAGAATCAAACAGAATCAATGACTAGAGATAAAGTATAGAGTTTATTGGTGTAGACGTTGCCAAGGTTAAAAAACAGTTTGTGTTTTTTCTTTTTTCCTCCCTCCTACTCCTAACTCTGTTCTATAATTGTTAATTTGCACCATTGGACATCAGAGTAGCATGGCAGCAACATAGAAAAAATGTTTTCCACTTGCTTGTCTTACAACTCTATTTAATGGTTCAGATCCATTTCAGATGTACTCAAAGAACAAGACATAAGTATTTTTTTTCCTGAACATATGTGGGATGAATGTGTACAAATGCATGCATGTCATCAAAAATAAAACTCCTGCTGTTTCTTTTAACTTGCAGCAGCAAGAAAAAGGGAAATTACCTATCATAGAATAAAGAGTTTGACAAGAATGTTGCAGCAAATTAGTGCTTATATTTGGCAATGATGAATCCAATTTAATTAATTACTCAGTGAGCAATTATCAGGTGAAGCGGCAATAAATTCTTGCCTCAAAGACAGGCTTTAAATGAAGGAATCAGCAGAGGGTTGATGGAGCTTGTTTGTTTAGTCACCCGATGTGGTAATCCGTCAACATCTAAATCCTGATTGACTACAGGGTTTACTTTAGATCAGACTCACTGAGACACTTTAAATGAGACTCATTGTCACAGACCTCTAACTGTGAGTGAAGCAAAACCATTGGGTAGAAAGCTGAGTGACTGATGGAATTTGGCTAATTCCTTGACAATTCATGTGGCAAAAGTTTTTAGTCAAAGTATTTCTTTTTAGTATCTTTTGGATACACAAAATTTTGGGACGACATGCTTCCTAGACGGTAAATGTTGTTAACTTTGGTGATCCCATGAGTTTCCTCTGGTGCCATGAGGTTGAACGCTGGTTAAGATTGAAATAGTCTGACTTACCAAATGTACACTATTAGCCTGCTATTGGTCACACAGTTCATGTGGCTTTCTCTTACCCTTCTGCTACCTGCTTATTTCCATTTTCAGTATTCCTTTGATGAAGAGATACGACAACGATCTCTGGGCTAGCAAAACACCAAAGTAAAAATTTTGAGTTTTGCTGGCAGCAATGCTCGTACTTCGCATTAAAAAAGCCATTTTAATGACTGTTCGTCTTCCTGCATCCAAAAAGATTCCCTGATCACTATTTTGAATGGACACCATGACCTCCTCTGATTGGTTTAAAGAAATAAATACAAGCTGGGGCATTGTTTCAACTCAGAATTACAATGAGGTGCAGCCAGACCGTTTTGAGCTGCAGAATGGTCCGGCTATTCAAGCCTAAGATTGAAATATATTGGTTCAAACGTGCATACTGTATCTATCACATGAATTATGATCACTTTTAAGCTCCCCTTGACTTTCCCTCAGGTCCAAAATGATCACTCATTATTTATGACTATATACCTGCACAACCGACAACATATAAGCAAGAGTGTGGCATCAGTTAGCTGCTGGTTTCACTGTACTCAGAAATGTATTCCAATCTGCATATTAAACTTTAAAAATGTAACAAACAGAGCTGTCCTACAATATTTAAAATATTGTCTTCATTATTGTTTTATGTTAGTTTGCCCTTTTGTTAGTAGAGCGCTGTTGTAATCCGTTTTGCTCTATGTTACATGCTCAGCGTCCTGGTGAGCCAGATGACTCACAGCTGCCTGCATTCACTGCATCACAACTCCGTCTCTCTGTCCTTCCCAGGTATCGTGTCGCTGATCTCTCTGGTGATCCTCTCCTACGACCGCTACAGCACTCTGACTGTATACAACAAGCGTGGGCCCGACTACCGCAAGCCCCTTCTGGCCGTGGGGGGCTCTTGGCTGTACTCCTTGTTCTGGACAGTGCCTCCCCTACTGGGCTGGAGCAGCTATGGCATAGAGGGGGCAGGAACAAGCTGCTCCGTCTCCTGGACGGTTAACACTGCCCAGTCACATGCCTACATCATTTGCCTCTTCACTTTCTGCCTGGGTCTACCCGTCTTGGTGATGATCTACTGCTACACCCGACTGCTTTGGGCAGTCAAACAGGTAAAGTCGCTCTAAGTTCTTGTGTAACATTCATGCTGCTTTGCTTTCAGATGTTCAAGGCAAATCCCTGAAATCCTCCACCTAAAATCTACCTTTTAAGCACCAAACACTGTTGGCTTTAAAAGTGGCCAAAAAAAAAAAACAGAGTTTCCTTTTCACAAAGAACAGCAGATGGACGGCTTGAAAACAACTGAATTGCGTCCAATTTTTAAGGTAAAAACAAACTTTGAAACTTTTCAAGCCAACAATATAGCAAAACCCACGCTCAGTTGGCACCGATATAAAAGCCCCAATGCACTAACCATTGATATCACTGAATATAAGCGACTAGTGGAATGGCAGCCTCATGCAGTCAAAAAGCTCTGCTTCTGTTCATAGAACAGAATTATGAAACAAAGCTTCAATATATTTCACCCTCTGTGGGCAGTTTTTGATCCTGTCACATTTGTATTCAGTGTGGGCTCATTTTTATTTGCATTTTAAAGTCTTGCAACTCTATGAAAACAGCAAAACCATTCCTGGAAGTAGAGAAAACTTAAAAAACAAAACAAAACAAAGAAAAGTCTTTTGTGCAGCATGACAAAATCAAAATGTCCTAAATCAGGGGTCTCAAACTCGCAGCCCGTGGGCCAATTGAATCCTGAGGGATGATATTTTGTGGCCCCCTACTTGACATCAAAGTTTAATGTTAGTGTGGCCTGCACGTTGTTTCCCACGCATCTACGCCAGTCATTGCCCTGGGCTGTTTCTTTTTTCTTTTTTTTTCACTTGTGGGCTACCATAGTTCAGGCTTGTGACAGCAACAGGAATTAGCAGCGTTAGTCACTTGAAACATGATTCAGGACTGTCACCGAGTGGAGAGAAAATATATCCTGTCACCCAGTGCAAATGCCTTTTTTTTTTCTTTTCTTTTTTCTATCTGTGTGAAAAGCTCTTCTCCACCATGAACTTTAAAAAGTCAAAGTACAAGTCCAAACTTACTGATGAGCATCTTCAAGCCATACTGAGGGTCTCAACTGCTTTCTCCCTCAAACCAAATGTGGCTCAGCTGCGTAAGAGGAAGTGCTGCCAGGTCTCTGGCAGCAAGGAGTCGGAGTAGGTTTCATGTTCAGAATTGTTATTATTAAAGATTGAGAAGATTGGATCAGTTGTACTTTTTTTTTTTTTTAGAATACTTGAAACCCTTTTTTTTTTGAATGCTTGAAACCCTTTTTTGTGGAATACGTGATGCGGCCCAGTCTCACCCAGACTCTATCTCCAGAGCCACCAGGCAAGCTGAGTTTGAGACCCCTGTCCTAAATCATACCAAAAGAAAAACAAGAGCCGAATTCTTTTACAAATGATAAAAAATAAATAAATAAAAAAGAGCCCAAATTTATTGTCAATATTGCCGGGAAAAAAGTATTTTACTATGTAGATTTTTAATTTGTTTCCATCCTTGTCGCCCATTTGCTCTGTGTACACACAGCCTGCAGTTCAGCCCAAAAAGTAGCTGTATTTGTCAGGTGACCGTATACTTTTGTCGTATTTTTAAATGAGACATTTAGAATAAAATTATTTTTTAAGAAATATGATTTTAATTTTAGAGTTGGTTACAGATGAAAAGTTCAATGGGCCGTCACCAGAGGATTAACAAAGCTGCTCTAGAAAGGAAAGCTTATGACACAGACTCTGCACACCAAAGAACATATCTCTATGTGAGGACAGTTGAAGTATCACTTTGTGCAGAGCTTCGTGTGTCTTGGTTTGAGTACTGGTCGTACATAAGGGCTCTCACTTCTGTCAAGCCCCTATCGTACTAAGTGTTTGCCAAGAAAATAGCATTTTGAGCAACACTTTGGGTATCAGGAGTTAGTGATGTCATTTAAATATTAATCCACTGCACTTCCAGAGTCAGAAACCTTTGGAAACCTGCGCTTTGGAAATCTACAGCAGCAACACAACTTAGAACTACTTCTTTGTTATAAAAGCTAGAACTTAAAACTGAAGAATGTAGTTCTATTCACAGTAAAAGCACAGCTGATATTTTGCAGAAATATGCACCCTTTCCTCTACACAGATACAGGTTTAATTTCATACCTGTTTTTGTAGTGGGACATGCCAGTTGAAATGCCAGCGTTTACCTGTGGAGCAGATGTTGTTGTTTGGCACCAGAAATCTTGAAAATGGATGGAAGGTCTTTGGGCGAAAGTTGGTGGGAAAACAGTGGCTTTTATTAACCAACTGTTAATGAAAGAAAAGAAAAAATAAACCCCAGGAAATTCAAGCTAACACTAGCCAAAACTGTGGCCTCATGGTGAGCTGCCTCCTTCTGCCTCACCTGGTTGGACCCTACCACCTGTGCTAGTAAAGGAGGGGTGAGGAAAACATAAAATAACCCAAAATGTAAGTAAACACCCAAGATGTCACCTGGTTTCTGCTGAAATACGCCTAAAATATAGACACTTAAGCATATCCACATGTTTAACAGAATGTCAGTGATTACAGAAATCCCTCTTCTGTCTTTACCCGCTCCTTCTATGCCCCCAAACCTCACTACTTCCTAGACAACACAGACAGAACCAAAGAAGAAAAACAGGCAAAACTACCACAAAACACCAAACCTCCAGCCAAGTCAACCAAACAACTAACACATGATTCCAAATTGCTAAAATACACAACCAGAGTTGATATTCTGCTCAATCAGAAGGGGGAACTTTCCCACAACACAGTCATGTTTAAAATCCTGGGATGCTCCACATCCATCTCAGACATCTGTCAGTGACGGAAGCTGACAGATGACATGATGCGATGATGTGACATCAATGGAAATTTGCTGCTACAGCTACAATGAAGTTTGATTGAAGAATTTTTCTGGCTAAATACATCAACAGTGAATGTCAGATTTGGTTGACAGTCCATACATCAAGCAGATATCCATCACAGAGGAGTTAAAGCTATGGTTTCTCCACTCAGCTAATAGATTGGAATACAGATGTCTCCACCACAGTCCTGTTCGTAAACGCACACGAAGGTTTAGGAACGTGATGGTGAATAACATTTAATAAGTTTATTAAAAGCATAGAAAACAACCCCACGTGGGATTGTGCAAAATAAGTTTTCTTTGGTGAGACAGAATAAGGGCATGTTGTTTTTAATGCTCCAATAAATCTTCAAAGCTGATTCATGATGCAAAACAGCACGACACATGAAAAGAGTAGTGCTAGGACCCTGCAGATGCTGCTGTTCCTGAAGTTCATACTTTGCAATTCGTGGAAATGCTGCAAAAAAGGTTGCTGCTTTTATCAGCTGCAGATAAAGGAAGCAGAGAGACCGCATGATGAAAACTAAAGCGTGAAATGTCTTTGAAATTCATGAAATGTAAGCAGCGGTATTTGTTACCTTCACAGTAACCAAGGGGTTGCAGCAAACTCAGCAAAATGATTTTATCTTAAACAGTTGTAAATTGGATCGGGCTCCGAGGACAGGAAGAGATCCCTGAACTTTCGGTGTCTTTTCAGCACCCACTGTCATGCACATTTAAAGCATGCTTGGCGGTGACGGGTGGATTAGGTCTTATTGAGTTTTAGGGAATGACTTTACTTATCTTAAGTAAGTGAAAGCCATTGCACTCCCAGCGATTTAGATTGTTTATTCCTGAGAGCAGAGGAGGGTAGCAGGGTGAGGGATTATCACAGCATTATGCCTCAGACAAAGCCTAAGCCACTCAGCCACCTTTTCTTTTTTTTTTCTTTCTTTTTTTTTTTTTTTAGTTCTTTTAATCCAGTGTTTTTAAAGCATTTACGACCTCAGATTGAACCCACAGTATGAAAAAGCAGCTGCTGCAATGGGACTTCCAGCTATAATTACCGCTGACGCTGGACAACTTCAGTTTAATTATCTTTGGTCAGTTTCACTTCAGTCCTTACAGATTTGTAAGCCACTTAGCACAAGACCTCTCCCCATGTACATTTTCAGAGGATACTTTAATATTGTACAGTTTGCATTGTAGTTTTGTCATCTATTAAAGCAGCATGTTGATGATCATAACGAGACATATGAGCAGGCTGTCCAAGAATAAAGTGGAAAATGTGCGCACAAAGAGAATCAAGCTCATGTAAATTCACGGCCTACTCCTGGATGTTCGTGCCTCTCCACAATGCCAAGATGCTTAAAATTCAGCGCTGCACGTTCCTCATTTAAAACTTCCAGGAGCATTTTCAAGGTTTAATGACGAAAAGCTAAAGCTAAATCTGCACAATTACTCTTATCAGGCAAAAGGAATGAGCTGAAGGGCATTGATAGGGAGAAATGGATGAGCATCTTAGGCAAACAACACAGTCACACGCTGAGGGCAATTTGTAGACGATGAAATAATGAGCTGACTTAGAAATGATTTCATTTTCTGATCGCAAGAGAAAGGAACAGTTGGCAGGGTGCAGGGTAACGAATGTCACAAATATGTCAAATTCTCTGTAATGTGACCAGGCTCAGACAGTCCATGAAAAAATGCAATGTATTACCTGTATAGCAGCCATCACATACTGGTCATTCCTGTTGAAATATGTTTTTATGTCCATAAGTAGCTGTTTTTACTTGTCACTGCTTAGAGCATGCAGTTTGTTAGAGAGGTCAGTTTGAGTCATACAAGTGTACAAGTTTTCCAGCAGCAACATCCATCCATCCATTATCTATACACCACTTAACCCTCACTAGGGTCGCAGGGGTTGGAGTCTAACTGACTTAGGACACCCTGAACAGGTCTCTAGTCTATCACACCCACACTCAATTTAGAATCACCAATTAAACTCAACATGTTTTTGGACTATGTGGAAGGAAGCTGGAGAACCCAGAGAGAACCCACACTGCACGAGGAGAACATGCAAACTCCACACAGAAAGATCCTGGGCTTCTTGCTGCGGGGCAATGGTGCTAACGAAGGCCAACAGCAACATAAAAAAGCTAAAATAAAAGGCTTACAATTAATATAAGATAAACAAGATCAAGTCAATCTAATATAACAAGAGAGAGAGAGCATGTGGGTATCTTAGCTAGAAGGACTGCACTCTTCCAGACAGAGATCTCAGATGTTGTTTCTGGGATCTGCTGAAGCCACTCACAGCTCCGAGCTTTAACCCCATTCAGGACTTTTGGGGCCTTTTGGACCCCACGCACTTTGGTTTAGGTGACGGGCATTGTGGTATTGTTTTTTTTTGTTTTTTTTTTAAATATAAAAAGAGACATTTGTCATGTATTCGGAACCAAAAATATGAAAATGTATTTAACATAGTATAAAAGTCTGTAATGAACACCAACAAATATTTTGCACATATTCTTTCTTGGGGACCAATGGACCTCAAAAGACCTTCTACACATGGCAACATGAAAGTCCTGAAAAGGGTAAATCACCTCTGGCACCACTGTTTCCTTCATTTTCCACATCTTTTCTGGCTCCTCTCTCATCCCTTGGTATGCTTTGAGCTTCTTGTGTTCCTTCTCTTTGATGTTGCTGTCACTTGGGAGTGCTACATCTATCACTGCTCGATCATCGCTGCCACTCTTGGAGGTGTCCTTCATCTTGATCCTTGGACTTCCAGAACATAGCCGGTGCAGATGCCAGCTCCATGTACGCTGTGCTCATCTGCATCCTACAGCCTGCTGTTATGGGCTGTGCTGTCTCAGGTGCAGCTTTGCACAGCCTACACACATCTGGTGTGGAAGACGTTGGCCTCTATTGATCTTGCTCAGCACCTGTTGTTCTGCTGCCAGGATTAGTTCCTCCATGCTGTCTTTCAGACCTGCTTTTTCCACCCGCTGGTATGTTTTCTGGATATCAGCCACTTCTCCTATCCATCGGTGGTACATGTAATGCAGGGTACATACATACACATAGATGTATATAGAGAGAGGGAGAGGAGAAAAGATGTGACTTGCTTTGACAACTTGACCCAATGGCAAAATGGTGTCATTTGAGAATTTTCTTTAGTGATTTACTGAGATTTTGACATCAGCCTAAGTGTCATCATTATATGTAAGGCTTTGATACGAGCAGCAGCTGCACGGATTCTGTTGGGAAAACAAATCCCCCTCAGTAAACATGCATAAACATTCTGCTTATTTAAGTCAACAATACCAGAAGCACACCACACACAGAGCGGGGTGCGGTGGTGGTGGGGGAGCTGCAGCAGCAAACAAAGTTTGCGTCTTATCATAATAATAGTGAAACTTGTATCAGTGGCTGCACATTTCATTATGATGAAAACTTACTTTTTTTTGTTTTTTGCTTTAAACTCTCTTTACAAAAAGGGAAATAGCAAAACTGTTGCAAAGAGACGCTTTCAAATCACAAACAAGGTCAGTTATTTCTCTTTTAAGTTTTCAATCTATCAAGTTTTATAGTTGCACAACTTTCCCAGGTGATGTGAATTAGTGTCATTTGGAGCCTGGTATTCATGTAATCTGTTCGTGGAACTGACACAGTGGACCATTTCTGTGGAAAGTGGTGCAGCAACAGGCTCCCTCACCTTCTCTCTGACTTTGTCGCTGAAGTTATCTCATCCATGAGCGGAGCTAAGCTCCTGCTGGCTCAGGGCCCAATTAAATCCCTGGAGGTTTTTAAAACTGAGGATTATTTGCATTATCCTAAGTGTCTGGGAGTCTCAAATAAATTTGTGGGAAAGTACTTTGCTCATGGGCTACGTGGAATATCTGAGGATCTGAGCTGGGAAAACTCCCCCACTTCACGTCATCTCCTCTTAATTCATCCTCATAAATGACCAGTGAAGGAAGGGCTAAGATTAAAGTCGACCCATCTGCATGTTAAGACATCCGAAGTGTGTTGTTGAGAGAATTTTAATTAGATTAAGATTTATTTACAGCTAGATGATTCAGATAAAAATTATGTATAAATCAAGAGACCGTTTGTGAAAGTAGATTTGTTGAATTTATTTACAGGAGAGTAAGTGGGTGTGAGGAGCGCTTTTAAAGTGTGATACCTCACAGTGCATGTTCACTGCATGGAAATTAGCTTTAATGATTCGATAATTTGTCATGGAGCGTGCACCACTAAAGTACAATATCACCAGCAGCTAATGCACTGTTACTTAATCCTTGGCCGGATCTTTGAGAAGGCCAGTTCTAATAGGTTTTCTGTTGTAGGTTGTAAAGCGCTCAGAAATAAAGCTTGTGTTGCATTAATTCAATGTGACACACGTAAAACCTGGGGTCAAGTACAATCCCTTGCACTCGCACTGGTTGTTTTGGGTCTTTGTGTGTGGTGGAATTGATGGGAACTTGGTGGTTAAACAGAAGGGGTCAGATGAATCCCAGTAGTGTCCCAAAAACATTTTTTTTCTGGTTTGTTCAGAAAGGAGTTTAACCACAAGCTGTCAGCATCTTACACCACTTGATGTGGGAAGAGGTATCACCTATGTATCATTTTATAATATATACTGTACATTATTAATTCAATACGCTGTGTGTCATGTGATTAATTTTGTATGCTGTATATTTTTACATTATACATTTAAATCAGTTGCATTTTAAAGCAAAAGTAAAATCTCACTTCTCTCATCCTCAGCCTGTGGAAGTGGATATATTGTAATGTGGGTTAGAAAAATTCAACTACACTAATAGGAGCAAGTAATTTAGTGTGCAGGTAATTATGTTTTTCTAAATTATATAAGAGATTTTCTTGATTCTTTTTTCATCTGGACAGGCAGTGCTCTTTAATTGTACACAAACATTTTAATTGATTTTAGAAAAGTGGTTTACAGCACTCAAGTCATTTTCTAGTTAATCACTTTTGCTATTTTTGCACTTAATTGGTAGCTAATAGTGCCGTCTTTGTATCTGTAGCATTTAATAAGTTTCCTAAAATCTTTAAGACTCTGCAAGAAAACACCTAAACTGTCTGAAATGAGACAAAGGGGTTGTGCGAGTGTTTTCAAGAAAACAGAATCTTAATTATCAATAAACTAAGGTTGACAGCTTTTCTTTTTCTGTAACAGCCCTCTCCTGTCCATCATCTGCAGGTGGGTAAAATCCGAAAGACTGCAGCCCGAAGGAGAGAGTACCACATACTGTTCATGGTTCTGACCACAGCAGCCTGCTACCTGCTCTGCTGGATGCCTTACGGCGTCGTGGCCATGATGGCAACGTTCGGGCCGCCCAACATCATCAGCCCCGTGGCCAGCGTGGTTCCCTCACTGCTGGCCAAGAGCAGCACCGTCATCAACCCTCTCATCTACATACTCATGAATAAAAAGGTGAGTCAGCAGCCTTTGACATGTACAACGGCTTTATTTACACAGTAAAAAAAGACAAATTACAACAGCTGAAATCATACAAATGGTCTATTTAAATATCAATTCAAGTGTAGTAAGAAGAGAATTCACTGAAATAAAAATCTAGAACACCCTAAGGCTGTTGGGAGTGAAACAGGACCTTCACTCTTATTACGTTCAGACATGGATGCTTCTGTTTTTTTTTTCCTTCCCCTTTTTAGGAATATTTGCAGGAAGCTGCAGAAGGGAAATGTAGAAAATGTTTGTTCACATGTTTAACAATCCTTCAGAGGCAGTGTGGTGCAGAAATTCCCACAATAGTAAATGAAAAACAGGCCTCAAGATTTAAGAACAGAGAAAAGGAGGCTGAGAGGAGAAACCGGAGTGTTTTCTCACCTCGTTACTTCACCACCACCAAACATGACAAGTTTTCAGTTCAACATCCCGTATTTAATACTGGCAATAAAACTGCGGAGGATAAAAAAATTCAATTAATTTTGACCTTAGGCATCCCAGAGAGAAGCAATAGCACCTCGCTGTCACTCTGAGTCCCCCCCCGCGGTTCACCCACTCAACTCAGGTATCATTAAAAATGTAATTTGGCACAATATTAAGATGCAAAGATGAAGTTGCCAGAAGTGTTGCACTCGGTCAAGTGCTTCCAGGGAACTGCTGATAGCTGCACCGCAGCCGGATGTGATCCACAAGCATGCATTAAAATCTGCAAAACATCACTTAAGGAAAAGAAAGTCTTGAGCACAATCGCCTCTCACAACATTAATGACAATGGTGTCTACTTGCAGCACAGTACAGCACAGACAGTTTAAGACTTAGCCCTGATCCTGATTTGCATGCTCTGTGCATTGAAGAGAAATCAGTTATTAGAAATATACATGTACAATATGTTCAGGGCTTTTTGCACCTTCAGTGTGCTACAATCACAAGCACTAAAACATTTTATCATTTACCTCAACAGAGAAACAGAAAAACCTACAGCAGAGCCGAAAACCTGCATGATTTCAAATGAATGCTGGAATCTCCTTAAGCTTTGAAAAACTGTTTCTTCACTCCAGTTTTAAAACCTCTGTTACAGTCCACTAACTAAGATGTTGACTTCACTGGGTTCCTTTGCTATAAGTGTCTGGGGCTGGGTATCAAGCTGCAGTACTTTTTGTATTCTGAGCAAAATGTGTTCAAAGCATCATCGCCGGTCAAGCAAATCTGGAAAACACAACCATAAATATAACCTGAAACCATATGTCTGCCTTTTTACAGTGACTCTATAGAATTTCCACCGACGCGGATACAGTACATCACTGTTCATTATTGTATCATCAATATCTCATTGTGGGAAAAATGCTTTCACGACAATATTTGATTTACAGAATTTTGCATCAATGTGATGAAGTACCTCTGTTATGCCTGTAATTCACTGAATTAGTCATCGTCATTTAGTCATTTAATCAAGGAGACAAACTGCACATGTGCACAGCAGTTTCTCAGTTCAATTTCAAGAAAATTTACTTGTTTACAATTTACATTGTATGAATGTTGCGATATAAAATATGAGCACTGAAAACGTGGTTAAGATTTGGACAGACGCTTGTTTCTTTCTTTGATCGGATAAAGTCTGAGTTATAAAAAGAGATTTGGGCAACTAGTCCGGACACATTTTGTTCAACACCCAGCCCCGGTCAAACCCCAGAATCATCTACACACGACTATACGACAACTACAGAGCCATTTTCTTTACATCAAACTACTCAAGGGAACGTTTCTGTGACGAGTTCATATCTTTCACCAAACCACAACCAAATGGCACGAGCACATTTTGTAGAATAGCACATTTAGTAATAAAAATCTCTGTTATAGGCAAAATCTTTCCAACTGCAAAAAAAAAAAAGACAAAGGAGAAAAAAATAATAAAAGCACAACCTACTCGGTTTTTCACACTGACCTCTAGAGCTAGCTGCAGATGTGGCACTGGCTCACTGTAAACATAAAAAATATCATTCTACCTGGAGACATAGGAAATCTGAAGATATTACCGGTCCAAATTCCTCTTTTCAAATCGCCTCCACTCGGAGCTACGGATGGGCACAGACTAATATTAGAGGACTCTGGAAATATGAGACATTTATAGTTGTAGGGAATGCAGTTCATGCGGTTACATAACAAGAAATAACCCTGCAAGGAGCTGCACGTAAGCACACCAGCAAAGGGTCTGGCCGTAGTACGCAGTGGTAAAGTTACATTCAATAAAGAGAGAACCGACTATCAAGAAAACAAGAAGGGGACGAAGGGGGGGGCTGGTGGTTGCTGAGGCAGAGCTGAGAATCCCCTGATACGTGTCGCTTCAGAAAGTATCGACCGCTCTCCGCATCTCATGGCAATCAAACTGAATGGTACTGCAGTCCTGCCACAGTATGTACTGCATGTATCCGAACAGTCACAAGGCAACCCGAGGGAAGTGTTCGGTCGACCACTAGGCACAGGGTTACGGCTGTTCTGAGCACCTGTTTCTGAAGATCCATTTTGGCCCCATTTAGCTTTTTATGATTTAATTACACACTTACACCCTAAACAAAAAAAAATAAAAAAAAGTGAACAAGAAGTAGCGAACTGGTGGTTGTCAGTCAGCATGCACAGGACAGTAATTCAGCAATGACCGCATCAGTAGTGAGAAATTAACCCCTCGTGACGACACGAATGAAACCGATTTCACAGGAGGATATGTACAGTAATCCGACGGCTCGACTTCCGTTGGAAATCTGCCTTTCACACGGCGTGTTCTTCTGCACGTGTTGCTGCTTCATGTGAAAGTGTGTGCGATTGTGTGACATTTTAGACATTCAGCGTGGATGACTTCTTTGTTTTTATTCACAACCCTTTGGACCAGTAAAAAAAAGAAAGAAAAAAAAACCAACAACCTCATCCGCAATTATAAACAGTGGCATTTCCTCTAAGTGGAGAACCACCCATACTATCTAGAAACACAGACTTTACACCACTGAAACACCCAGTTATTGAAAATTCACTTGTCTATCTAAAACATGAATCTGTTGCTACCCTAGTCAGCTCCACAGCTAACGTGGCTCAGCTAAAGCAGAGAAAAATGTCCTTTTTTTATATATATTCTTCCAGCTCCTTCTCGGAGATTCTCCCTTCTAGTCTCTGGTCAGAGTTAAACCATCTCGGTGAAGACAAGGTCTTTCAGAAACCTCCATGTTGATCCCTCCCTGGAGGGCTATGGCTTATGCTCTTCAGCGGTCTAATTTGAAACTTGTAAGCTTCAGCCTCCTTGTCTGCAGTGGCTTTATTGCACCTCTCCCTTGATCAGCCAGAAAAGGCCAGAGTGTGTGTATATGTGTGTCGGTGTGTGTGTGTTCGGGCTCCAAGAGTCCACTTTCATATATCAGATGTCACAGTTGACGGTGCTAAAGCCTGGAAGAGTGACGCGCCCCTTCCTCCTGAGGTCGCTCTCGGGGCCCGTGTTGATTCGCTGGATCAGGCTCTTCTCGAAGAGGAGGGGATGGTAGGCACCCAGTGTACAGGCGGCGTCGTAGTAACGCTCGTGGTAGTGGCACAGGTCCGTCTGCCTCATGGAGGGAATGTACTCGTAGACGTGCACCTGCTCACACAGCGCCATCATCAGGAGGATACCTGCAATGTAAACACAAGAAGTGACATTTGAAACATTAGCTGACTTGACTTTTTAAACCATCAACTGATAAACAATTGTAAGGGCACTGTTTTTTACCCAAAACTGGTTGGTAGTTTACGGTTGCAACCATTATGCCTTTCGATATTAGAAGAAAGAAAGAAAGAAAGAAAGAAAGAAAGAAAGAAAGAAAGAAAGAAAGAAAAAGGACCAAAAACACTTACAGCTTCTGTTAGCCTCTAAGTTTATTCCTTTTTTTCCCTTTCTTTATGAACCACACAACCTGGAGGGTTAAGGCATGAAAAACCGGCAAAAATGTACCAAGTATTGTAGCCAAAAACTGTAAAAATGGAAAGAACTGACAGATTTTCAGTCCTTGAACTGCTTAGTTGCAACATGCATCTCAAAACTCAACCAAACCCATGCTTAAAATTACACTATTTAATAAAAATCCATTTAATCTACATGTCTGATTGAAAATTTCCTAAAAAAATAAGCAGTTTACACAAACAAGATTCTGTAAAAAAACACAAAACTCTGCGGTCCTCAGCATCTTAGAGAAGCCAGCTGCAGTCAACAGTCATGTGACAAAAAGTCTGGGACTTTTTGACTGAACTACAGGCGCAGATAGAAGAACAAATTAAAAATGAAAGTTTTTCAAAGACTTATGTGGACAAAAAAAAAAGTTTTAATCTGATATTTCAATTGTCTTGTTTGCATATATTTTTATCATCATTTATTGTAAGAATTATAACATATCTGAGTTCTCTCTACTTGTAGCCCTTGTTGTGCCGTTTCCATGGAGGTGAAGGAGCTCATATTGCAGTGAAAAACAGACCAACAGTAAATAAAAAAATGACAGGAACAAGAAACTGCTTAGGGTTCAGAGGGTTAAGCAAAGAGCAACATATTTTCTCTGTGTGTTAACTCTCACATAGTTACACACCTGGAGGCTGTCCAGTACAACCACAGCCTGATCTGTTGGCCACAGAGCAGTGATACTGAGCTGTTGCTACTGAGATATAACTTATTTCTTATGATCCTGGGATCAGATTGGGGAACTTAGAAGCTACAAATCCGTAAAGCAAGGAATTTGTTCCACACAAACCTGCGTGTTATCCAACCATGTCGGACGGCAAAAGAAAAAGACACTACATTTACTATGATATAACAGCACTCACGTCGCGAATTTAGTTCAAATACGTAGGTCAGAACCGAGTGACCACTGTCACCTTCAATTAGAGAAACAACCGATCAACTGAAGCTTAAAGCTACAATATAGACTTTATCCCAGAAGCATGTTTGGTTCTATTTTTTGAAAGTCTCTTTTCATCCCAACAGCGATCAATAAATTAAGTGTTAAAGCCTGTAAGAAGCCAATCCAATCATTGCATTTGCTCCTCATGAGATGACTGGATGACCCACCTGCCTAACTGCATACCTTCCCTGTCCACTGCATTCAGTGCACATCTCTGGAGTCTCAAGAGCTAATAACACAACAGACAACGTGCAGCTACATTTTACAGCGCCACAAAAACCTACAGCACTGTTAGACACGCTGCATCTTTCAGTGCTCTTTGTGCTCTCTGTCCTCCTCCAGTTTCATCAGAGTATGTTTGAACGTGTCTGTCGTCATGTTCTCTGACTGTCTGCATTGTAGCCGAGCTGTGAGCAAGTGTCATTTGATGGCATTTATCTGCTGTTGGATTACATTCTGCTCTCAGTGAGATGCTTTGCAAATGCGGTGATGTAGCTATTTGTGTGTTGATGTAGTTTTAATGCTACTATGTATTATCTACTGCAGCTTAATATGTGTGGCTGGCCAAGGGGAAAATGGCCACATTTCCCCACATGCAGTAGCTACACAAATACATTTATGAAAAATATCGACAGGCATAAATAGGATTCACAAAACACAGCATTCACTGTAAGCCCACATATATGAATAAAAAATCTTTAGTCAGAATCCTAGAGAAATGTACAAAACTAAGCTAAATATACAACAAATGTTGTTTTTTTGGGCTACTGGCAGTCAGGTGAAAACAACTGATGACCTTAATCAGTTAGTCGCTAAGTTTGTCAGTCAGAAATGGAATTTGACCATTAGTCCAAAGTAAATTTTAAAAAAAGAAAGTTATTTTATTTAGTTTCCTGTACATGTAAATACTTTACCAGTACTTACACACTCCACTGTTATTGGTAAATGGTCTGCACTTATAAAGCACTTCACAATGTGTTTCTCATTCACCCATTCATACAACAATGGTGACAGAGCTGCCATGCCATTGAGAGCATCTTCGGGTTCAGTGTCTTGCCCAAGGACACTTCGACTGTGGACGGGCGAGGGATCGAACCGCCAACCTTGCGATTGGAGGACAACCCGCTCTACCACCTGAGCCACAGCCGCCCCATTGTTGTGCACTGATACTGAATGGATACAGTATTTAAGGGGCCTGATTAGTAAAGGTGCTTCAGCCTTCCATACGTTTGATAAATCTTTGTATTTACCAACATCTCGACTATATCTGAAAGTGCAACGGACTGTGGGCAGTTCTCAGGTGCGAATGTGCTTGTGAGCGTAAATGTTCAGCTGTGCTGGGAGAAAAAAAAGCACGTGTGCTCAGCAAAAGCCTTCTTTAGATGGAGGGAAAAAAAAAAAAAAACACCCAGAAGTGAATACATAATACATGAAGACTGCGACTTTGCCGCCTCAGCGTGCTCTGCATATCTCTCAAACACTGTGATATGTTGCCGGCACAAAGCGCAGCGAGCTCACACGTATATTTAGTTACCTTTTGTTGTTTTTCATTCCTCCTAGCTTCGCATATTCCTGCTGATTTCTGTTTATCATTTTCTCTCTGATGATTGCGGTACATCTCATTAGCCTTTGCGACACAGTCTCACAAAGCCGTAATGAAAATGTTTGGGTTTTTTTTTTCCAGCAAGATGCTTTTCTCATTAGACATGTTTGTGCTCAGAAGTAAATCTGTATAAGCTGACAATTATTCTTGTCTGTTTATTTTTAACAGTTGCACATGTCAGAATACAATACTTGACTTCACTATCGTGTCCCAACCAGTCGCCGTTATGAAAACCTCGGCCTTGACTTGTTCTGAAGTATGACGGAAGCAGAAGAGAACATTCATTTTCTCGCAATACTCAGGAAATACAGAAAAAAACAACAGCTTACATTCCTGTGAGCGGCTCTCAAACCTTCCAACTAATGTGTGAAACGACCTCCACGGTCAAATTAACCACTAAGTGTAAGAGGCAACCCACTCTTCCGCCACAACAGGCCATTAGGGGACCATTTTCTCTCCTCAAGCGTAACTACATGTTGAATGTAAGGACATGAAAGTGCACTAAGGAATGATTTCTGCCTAATCAAATTCTGACTGTGTGAAACCAAGGTCAGTCCGTCTCTAGCAGAGCCATGAACTTGTAGTTTGGCGTGAGTGCGATCTGTTCACACTGCCATTTCCCTCTCAGTTCTACAGGTGTTTCCTGATCTTGTTTCACTGCGATCACTGGTCATCGGAAAGCACCTCGATGCCCTCCAAGACGACGGTGATCCACCTCAACCGCAGAGTCTACAGCAACACGGTGGCCTGCACTGCCCAGGTCTCCACCGACGCTCTCAACCGCAGTTTCCCGACCACCAAGCACACGACCCCGCCCAAGGTCACGACCTAAGCCCGGAAATGCTCGACGAGAAGCAGCGTCCCCAATGAAATAACTAGACACTTCGAACAAACAAAAGCTACAGTGGAAATGTGGACTACAGCATGAAACATTTAAAACTTCAATGTGCTTTATGTGTGAGTTTGTGCTTGTTCAGAAAAGGGTCTGTTTCGTGTCCATTCGGTTTGCGTTTATTGTACAGGACACAAAAGGTCTAAACGGCCAGCGAAATACGTGCAATGTGTGTGAACACCCGATCATTCCGCCTGTGTGACTGTTGAAGCAACTCATTCCTACACTACAGGTTCACATTACGGTACTTGATGATTTTTCCTGGAATTACCAATCTGTCTACTCAGCACTTGTTTTATGTTCAACATATTAGAAAAAGGGTGACACTGTTTGGGAAAATTATAACTACAAATGAAGCCAATTAGAAGGCTTGAGAACTTTGTGGCTTCTTAAAACTTCTTTTTTCAGCAGTGAGGACAATTTCTTTCAGAATTAAAGCATTTATGTGCTTTTATTCCTTTGCAATGCAAACACAAACGAATTTGGGCTTTTCAATTTTAAATTTCCATCCTTTTTTTTTTCTACAAAACAAAAACCTAGTGCCTATTCTTTCTTTCTTTTCAATCGGTCTGTTATTGTGCCATGGCGAGGCTAGTCGATTACAAATTTGTGCTTTCATCAGTGGTTAAATGGATCGATGTAGTCATCATTTAAAGTCTGTCTTTTCCTCCTTTTGCCTCCAGCCTCTGTAGTGCTCTGGCTGTAAATATTGCAGAATATGAAAGGTTATCACAGAAAGACCTTATTGTGACTTTAAATTTCACCTCGTATATAGGAAAAAGTTTCTAAATCTGGTCTGCATGTCGGCTTTTATTTGAATTACGTCAGTTTGTGCTTTTGTGCTGTTCCCTCTTTTGATACAGTTTACTTTGTCTTATTGCATTATTTCTTTGCATGTGTTCGAGTCCATTCAATCCTGAATTATTCAGAAAAAATGGAGACAGACAATTACTTAGACCTGTACTTGATTAAATCCCTGCCCTCTGGTCAGATTGAGATGGGAGAAGAGTAACATTTCACAACAAATGTGCAGAATGACCAGCCACAGAGTGATGGTGATGGGTGAGGAAGACCTGGAAAACATCTGAGGAGACAGCGGTGGTGCAACACGCTCAAAGAGCTGAGTTACGGAACTTGTAAAAGCTTCCTTTGTTTGTGGCTTATGTCGGCGTGTGGATATCTACATCCACACATTTCTGGACTACATGGATGGAACATCTGGGAATGGTAATACACACAAACTGCTGAAGTGTAACGGCCCTAATGACATGTTGACGAGGCTTCGTGCAGATTTCAAGCACGACTGATAAGGACTTGCTCAAGATGGAGTTGTTTCCCTCGAAAACAGCAAAGACGAACTCTCTTACTGCGGAGTCGTGATGAGGCTCAGCCAAATGTGTTTTCTGACAATCTGACTTGAGCTCATCTGGAAGCTGATTTGAGTTTGTTCCAGCTGCGAACAGATGCCAAACCTAAGACATCCAAGTGACGTTCGTTTTACCATCATCATTCATCAACTGTCTTTCATTGTTGGGTTTAATTGTTTTAATAAATACCATTGCTGTGCAAAAGAAACGCTGCATTGCTGTATTTTGAAACAGTAAAATGAACTATATGACTCAGAGAACGGCGTTATCGTGAGGCTTTGATGTCCTTTGTTTAATGATGAACAGCATGAAAGTGTTGCAGCTGCCTCTCAGCGATGATGGAAAAGAGCAGCAGTGACTGTTTGAAATTTGAACTTTACTTCAGGAACAATTCATGAGATGTTTGAAAGCTGGCACATGTCAAGACGGCATAATGAAGCTGTGTCCCAAAGCATTATTCAGTTACTAATGGATGTAAGCAATATTTCTTTTTAGAAGAAATTATTGGACATATGGTCAATTTATAGAATAGGGCACAGCGTCTTCTTCTCATTTTCTTTTAGCTACAATTTGCTTTTACAGAGTTATCTCCATTTAACTCAAAGAACAATGCAAGTACTTCCTAAATTCTGATAAAAATCTGCACATTAGCCAAATGGGGAAAAAGACAATTTGCACATTTATTTCGTTAGTATCCATTTATAAATCCTAAAAGCAGAAGCTTCTAAATAATTGACGCATCTCTAACATCAAAAAGGCAAATGGTGTTTGTGTCGTACTAAAAGCCAGTCCAAGCTGAGGACAGAACCATCTAATTTCATGTACTTCTTAGCCTAAAGTCTTACAATTTAATGAGCTTTTAGTTTTTAACGTAAAGTGATTTTAAGCTATCTAATCGGACTTGTGCCAGCGTTTGCAGAAAATGACGAAGTGCAATCACTTACTGTAATCACAATAAAAACCAGTGAGAACCTGCACAGGGGAAACCAAAGCTCTGGTGTTTTCCAGCTGAAATGCAGCAGGTGTGTTTGGTTTATTAAAACATTAAAAATCAATCTTACTTCACTGTTAAAGCACAGAATCTGTACTGTACTCTGCAGCATCCGACGTGATCCGAAAAAATTACCGCTGCTCTAAAACGCTGAGGAAATATTCTTGACAAGTGATGTCAACACCAGCAGTTGAAATTTCAGATAAATACTTGAGATCAGCCACGAGAGTAATGTTCTGTCTCTCAGAGGTGAGAATCCTTCCATAATTGGATTCCTCGTGAATACAGCTGTGTAGGGGCAAAAGCATACCGAGCGGTCCACAAAATTACAGTGGTACAGACCAACATGAAGTGCGTATTGACATGCTGAAGAGTTTCCAAGACGGCCTTGCAGTGGTCACATTTCCATCACCTCCTGCATGGATGTGCTGCTTTGGAGTACATTGCCTTGTCACTCTGCATGCTGATAATCTCACTGTGCATACTGAAGATAAAAAATTCATCATGTCTTAGCTTTTTTTGTATGTGTGTGTTTGTGTGTGTGTGTGTGTGTGCTTGCGCGTATGTGTTTGCACCTATATCTGTTCCAGGAGACGGCAAGGAAATGGGAAGATAAGAGTACAAAGGGAACTGCTGGATAACAGACTAACACTGCATGTGTACCCACCGTATACATGCAGTGCAGGGTTTTCCCTTCCATAAAAAAAGGCTCATTTGCAGCACCCTGGTGATTATGCAGACTGCGTGAAGCCAAATGAACATTAAATTGCATTTAGGTGACATGTGAACGAAGGTTAAAAACAACAGTGAGGGTTCTATGTGCCAAAAAAGAAAATAAAAAACAGTGGAAGGTGGCTTATCTCAAATGAAAAACCAAGCTGACAACAGGATTGATTTGCCAATAAACATTCAGCGTTGGTTGTGTGGTCACATGTAATGTCTTTTTCTGATGTGAAAAAAAAAAACCAAAACGCCATTCCACAATGCAGAATGCTACTAACCTAGAGTTGCCTCTCCAGGTTTGATCTTATTTAAAAAAAAATAAATTAATATCAGGAGATGGTGTGATGCCGCGCCTATCAGCATCAGGTTTTTCTGACTGGCGGGTGCACATTTGTATTTCTTCATGGCGTGCAAACCGGAGCAGAGAAGAAAACATCCCACTCTGAGTCAGTCAGCAGCGAAGGATTAGCCGATCCTCATGTGGAGGATCACCTCTGGTGACGAGAGGTGGGTCTGTGGCTACCACAGAGAGAAGAAACAACAGTTTTTACAGCGGAAGAGCCTGCAGCTTCCAAAGCTGGACACGGCGCATGAGGTCAGGAGTGCAGGAAGCGCATACTTGCTGTTTTGTTCGACATTCACGTGGTACTCTGGGAATTAGTGCCCCAGGGTCGAACTGTCAAGACAGAGTTCTACTGTTACGCCCTGAGGTGTCGGAGAGAAAAAGACTTGAATGACTTGAACTGTGGCGTGACGGTATGTGGGGGCTCCAGCTGCTCTGTGTGTCTGGTCACAGAACAGCGTTTACGCATCAGGTTTTTTTGTGTGACTTCTTTCTCTTCCCCAAAATGAAATTAATGTTTAAGCGTCATCGTTTTGACACTTGGAGCTTCACATTTTTACATGATGGCGCTTACATTGAGCACTCTATCGCTGCACAAAGACGCTACTTCGACAGTGGTAGCAGCCAAATTTAAATCAGGCTCGGTTTTTGATGTTTTTTTTGTACACACAGCGTCCAGATTTTTTGATCACAGAAAGTACATCTGCATGTCATCGTATGTCTGCATGCACGTGTGTGTACCCACCTATGAAGCCAGATGAGGGGGGATTGGGCTGGATGTTCTCCTGAGTGTTGCCCTGGATCACATCCCAGAGTCGCCACACGTAGCTGGGGTGAAGGATGTAGAAGGGCTGGTCAGGATGGAGCTTGCGGTGCTCCACGTAAGGGCCAAACAGGTTGTAGTCTGGACTGGTGTACCACTGATAAGACAGAAAAAAGACCTCCATTAAAACAACAGGGTGGATGAATCATTTAAAACTGTTAAACATTAAAAAATAGTTTTCATACACTTTTCAAAGGTTTTTTACTCAAAGCAGAGAACTGTATTTTCAAAAATGGCTGAAGGGGATCTCTATATAATTACTCTTTACATAGCAGTATGTAAACGAAATGTATCGCTTACTTATGCTTTCAAGTAAATTAGCCGCTTCTTAACCGATTTATGAGTTGATTAACAAATGATGGACAAAGCATGCTTTCACTGGAGCAACTGAAAAAAAGATGGATTCTGAATTTTAATTACAAATTTCCTCATGATTAACGTCAAAAGACAGAAAGATCCTTTTATAGAAGATGCACTGGGAACACATCTTGAAGTTTTTTGACTTCTTTCCAAAGAAAATCATAAAAAGCCTGACAGGTAAAACACTCCTCCCTGATGTTTGATGTTGCGTCAGCTTAAGGGGTAACTGTGGCTATATTTCATTCAGTTTCATTCGTATGAGGTTTGAGTTTAAATTATGGGTGAGTTGCATGGTTGGAACTAAAACACAATGAGCCAAAATCACCAACGTCACAGCAACAGAACACTGTTCAGTCGAAGCGCTCGGACAGGACGTACAGCGTGTATAGTTGTACAGCTGAGCACATGGCTAATCTTCTCCTGCCACCAGGTCAGCCTTTCAACAGAAAATAATTGAGCCGCTCCCTTGTCGGTTTTTCCATAGACCCATAATCGTTCATACGTAAGAGACGCATTTCACGTAAGGAAATTAAAGGGCTTTGGAGTCAACCAGAACAAGAACGAGCGAGCAAAGGTTGTCCAAACAGCCCGGCAAATTATACGCCTTTGACAAAAACCATTAGATGCTCTGTACAACCCTACTGAATACAGAAAAATAGTTTTTTTATGATTGAAGCCGGCGCACATACTGTTCAGATACATTACAATGCAACTGATATAAATTGTAAGTATAGAGATGTAATCGGCACCCCACGTAGCAACAAGTCCCTTATAATGGATTCAAGGGGGGACAAAACACATCAGCTTATAATTCAGATTTCTTATTCTGCACATAAAAGTTCATCATCACATCATATCTAATCTTACAGTGGAAATAATGAACACCTGAAAATCACTGCCCACAATTATTTGTTTTTCATAACGAGAGCCAGATGAGAAAAAACGAGGTTTCCATGGATCCGTGATACCTGACATGAATTGTAATTACTTTGACCGCTTTTTTTTTTTTTTTTAAATGAAGCACCAATCGCTTATATGTTATCATACTTCCAGCCCGCTTTGTTAATTACATATGCACAGCTAAGACATCGGAATTACTGCAACTTTATTTGAAACTAGCAAACCATTTCATGTTCAGTTAATTTGCTCTGTCATACTAAAGATGATTTACATTCCAGTGACAATAAAACGGAGAAAAGCAGCACGTGTTCATGTTTGAGAAGCAGTACAATGCACATTTTAAGTTGAGAAGCAGTTAAGAATGGGGATATTTTTAACCATTTAATGCAAAAAAAGGAGAAAAAAAAATGGTGAAGATGTGAGAATTCACAGTAAAAGATAATAAATGGAATCATGTGAGAGCAGGAAGGCTACCTGACAAGCAGACTGCAACATACCACAAGCCGCAAGGAACAACACTCCAGCAACAATACGTGTCAGTTCTTATTTTTACAGGTTAATTACTGGCATCGGCTCAGGATCACATATGAAACAAAGCCATAGAGACAAAAGTCAGGTGTCAGTGCAGCACCATGTTCTTCTTCTTCTTCTTCTTCAAAAAAAGTAACACTCCTAATAAGATTTTTTCTTCCCATTTTGGTGTCACTTTGTTAGGCTTTCTGTTCTCTAAGTGGGAAATATAAAATGCCCTGAGGCTACCTAACTGAATGCATGCCTCAATTCTGGCAAATGTATTGCTCAGTCTTTATCTCTGTAATCTTTGCACAAAAAAAGCTTTTTCACAGGTTAATCTAACAGCACTGTACTATGTGATGCTACACTGTGTGAAAGGTGTAAAGGTTAAAGACTGAAAATTAGTCATTGTGTTCATTTGGAGGGACAAGTGTTGCAATTACAAAAATGAAACGGCGAAGGAAAATGAATAGGAAAAGACAAGGACATTTTTAATATTCCAGTAAGTGGCCAAATAACTTCGGTGATTAAGATAGTGGGCTACATGCGGCGTGCAAATCAATTTTAATTGCAAATCTACTTGCATAAGTCTAGAATCTTATTGATTGTGGCAACAGACCATTCCCTGAATAACAAGCGTGAAAAAAAGAACAGGAGAAGAGGGGGTGGGAAAAGGTCGGAAGAGGGACTCAAAAAAAAAAACATGCTTTGGAAACGTGCAGACATCAGAGCCTTTTCAAGGGCAGGTGGAAGTCAGATGTAGGGGCAGAGATAGATGAGAACACGAGGCGGGTATGAGCGAGAGGGGAATAATGAGGGGAGAATGATCAACTGTGAGTGTGATAAGCACTGACATCACGTTTGTGTGTTGAAATGGCCGCAGAACATTTTCATGCATTGCCTTCGCTCCATACACGTTATGAGAATTGTTTGTATTTCCTGTCTGTGCACCATGACCTTGGTGTCGCAGTAAACACATCTTCTATGGAAACTCATGCGGAAAAAGCAGCTCCGGGGCTGCAGCCATCCAAACACGTACCTTGTTTAAGTTGATAGTGTAAGGTGCAGGGTCCCAGGCCACCAGAGTTACATTCTTGTAGATAGAGCTCGTGTTGAATCGGTGCTTGGGATTTGCCAAGATCTGTAGAGAAAAACAAGAAGTGTAATGTGAATATCAAGAAAAAGAAAAAAAAATCATACATATTATGAATGAAATATGATAAATGCTAGCAATCAGACAATTTAATGTCATCTTAATATGTTTTAATTCAGACAATTGTTACTACTATTACACTTGTTGGTCAATAAAGCTACTGCTAGCAGCTGCTTAGCTTAGCTAACTGTAACGACAAGATGCAGCAACAACCTATTTCTTTATCAGATGCAGTAGCTTTGTTGCGTTATGTTGTCTGCCATCGAATACTAACCACATTCACTGCCTCTGTATAAGAAACAGCACGGGACTGTATAAATTGTGCTTTAAAGGTGCTGCTGGCCAGAACTACATGACCCGCTCCCCAATGCTTCCAGGCTTTATGCTAAGCTAGGCTAACTGGTTGTTGCTGGTAGCATCACACTGAACAATAAACACAACAGTGGTATCAACTACTGTCAACAACAAAGACACAAAACGTATCTACAGGAACTCTTTCTTATAATGTACATTAATAGTTGATGGTCTTGACAAAATTGACATGATCAACTTTTTCATTTTAAACGTCAAATGTGTTATGAAACAGTAACCTAAGGACACATCCAGGAGAAGGGTGTACCACAGAGCAAGTTTGACAAATCCAGGCTTTTTCTTAGGTTAGCTGGCTCAACAAAGCCTAAAACCCCAGTCAGAGATAACAAGATATCACAACGGTGCTCATCAGCTTTCATCGTTAGCCAGGCTTTCTTCATCATGCTCCCTGACTCTTCATCTGCACATAATGTACCTATCATTTGCTGTCTACTTCAGTCAAGAGGTGCAAGCTGTTATAATCAAGAACACTTAGGCACTGCAAAACAGCAATGCTGGTAGAAATGTGTCAATCATGCACGTTAACAGAACTATTCTACCACCCAGGGTACTCAATGCCTGAACTTATTTCTAACAAGAGAGCTGCACATTATAGCTCTTGTACTTTCAACTTCATACATTTAAACATGACATCCAACAAGTGCATTTAGGTCTGACTTTGTTCCATGATGACGATACCTGGAAATCATTATAAACCGATGGCAACAGGCTTGAATGAAACCCCTGAACTCGATGATTAAGAGGTGTGTCCCAGTACTTTCATTGGTATAGTTTAGTTAGGTTTGGCCACATCAAAGTGAAACTAATGTTATTGATTGGATACTCTCTGTTAAAAACCAACAGACTGATCAGTTTTCTATTCTGTGTCCTATCAGCTGCAGTACCAGCGGTGTAAAAAGAACATGGCAGCCAATCCAGATCAAACCTTTAAATAAATTTATGCAGTTTCCACATCACCAACTAAATGCATGTATGTTGGAGTCTGATGAATTAAACTTGCTCTCCATTTAGCTCTGATTGTGTTTTGATTTTTTATAATATACTGAGAGGAACATCTGGCTCTTTAGCTACTCAATGCTCCATGTAAATAACTCATTAAGGTCTATTGTTATTATTTTAATTTGAATTGAATGGGTTTGTTTATCGTGTTGCTGGATTTGCAACTTCCTGTTTTATTTTGAAGTATTTCCTGTTTGGTCTGTCATGTGCGCCAAAGAGACAGTACAACCCTTTCCATCAACAGAATAAACACAAAATATCAGAGCATCAGCACACTGTGGCAATTAGAAATGCACAATCAAAAATACTCAACCATGAATAAGTGTGTAAGTTCACAATAAACACAACTCAAAAACCTTCACATTTTAAAGCCTGAGATAATGCAAAAATATTCTCAAATCAAAGTCCTTGTCCTTGAGAAGTCCTTATGATGGAAAAATGTCCGTAGTGTTACCTCTAATTACATTTAAATCAAACTCCACTGTGGTCAGTATAGGGTTTTTCATTTCGTCGGTTTGCAATTTGCTGCTGGACAAGAACTGCAGCGCAAAACAGTCAAGCTCATGGATGCTTAAATGTTTTGTGCAGCTAAGGGAGAAAACCTGAGCATCAGTTCTCTTTGGGTGTAATGCTGCAAGTTAGGTTTCACGTTACAAATATTCACTTCATACATTGTTAATGTAAAAACTATTGATGCTCTGTTTGAATAACACAGATTGTTCAGTTTGGGGCTGACAAGAAGAGGTTCTTTCTTAATTTTATATGTTATAAGAACAAGAGACTCCTGTTTTTTTTGTACTTATGTTGTTCAAGATTGACAGAAATGGAAATGAATCACAACAAACATGAACTACCCTCAAATTAAAATGTACATATTCAAATATATATTCACTTATACAAGAAAAATATGCAATTAAAGGGCAAATGCAGCAATTATTGATGGCTAATTAATTCTAGTGTAGGATTGCGCCAGACCTGGACTACATTAAAAAGGAGTAAATCACAAATTGCAGTCTTTCACGTTTTTCTGCGAGGGGCACAGGTCTTGTGCATACGTGTATATTAATGAGTCATTAAATCAGCTCAGACTCAGATTATGCATCATCTGAGGCCGAGCTGCTGCTTACCTGCGAGTTAATGATGCGTATAGTGGTTTTGTTCCCCACGTCTCTCTCGTATCCCTCCGTAGGTGCAGCATTGAACCGTAAAACTGCATCATGAGTGTCTGAAAGGCAGAACGTAGCACATGTCAACTTTATCTCCAAGCGGAGAATGAACTGACCTTGAGTTGTGCATATCAGGATATCACACCGGAGAACACGTACGTTAAGAAAGGATCATGCTTTCTTGAAATTACCTGATAAGATAGCGAAGGTTCGGTATTGTGTAATTTTCTCCACAAAAATGCTTCTAGAGAGTATTTGTATAAATCAGGCAATATATGATTGATGACGAATGAAACTTCAGAAAGAAAGACCTCAACATCTTTTTCACGTCTTTCACATTAGTCGAAGCTTGTCGAGGTCTTCTTCTAATCACCAATTAGAACTACTGCCTGGTGTTACGGGTTTTTGAGGCAGCTTCACACACATACACACATAAAATATAAAGATCAATAGTTCAGCACCATCACATTTGGATGAATAGTCAATATGACACGTGAACTGCAGAGATGACTGGGAGGCTCGCAGGCATAACTAAAGTGCTCTCCAGTGGTTAGCTCAGGGAACTGATATATAAAGAGCTGTATTTGGAAAAGATCTGTATTTCAAGTCCCTTTTTTTTTTTCTTTTTTTTTGGTTCCCATGTCCTTCCCAGTCCACGCTCAACATGAAAACCTCAGCTTGATGGATGGTTGTAGTAATAATTACAAATCAATTTCTGCCTGTCTCCTGATCGATCCATCAGTTTCAGCCATCCTGCTCCTGCACTGGACGGACACTTCAGGATGGATGGTTGCGCAGCTTTCGCTCTGATGCTCCTTCATCACTGCCACCACTCGGCTTACGATACCGACTGGCGAACGCAACAGCGCTACCTACTGCAAACACCTGAGCTCTGTTTTCCTGCGTCTATACAACGCTGTAAACACGACCGCTCCCTGCAGAGTTCGACCCGGTTGATGGATTTTCCTGAAGAGTTCTTAAAGCAGAGATCATTCTTTGTCTACATCCGGCTGAAATACATGTTTTTTGTAATGAAGTCAACCAATCTGAGGCAAAATGTCTGTTTTACACCATCTTTTTGTGTTTATTACTTCCTCATTGACTGAATATGTTGATTCATTTACTTTACATTGTGTACATAGAGCTAAACTGCTCAGCCAAAACCTGGCTAATGTTGTGTAGGTCCCACTTGTGATGCCAAAACAGTTCTGGCCCATTGGTGCATGGACATAGGACCTCTGGAGGTGCTGGGTCACTGCCTTGGCGTTGTTTAAGCTGTTCTGTGTGCTGTTTATGTGCATGTCAAAGTAACATCCACATGAACGCCAAGACTCAAGATTGCTTTGTAGTGACATGATCAATGTTACACAATTCATCTGTCAGTGGTTTAAATGTTGTGGCTGATCAGTGCGCGCATTTATGTTGTTAGTGATGATTAGTATCGATCTCCTGGGGGGAAAAAACAATGGTTTTACACGTGTTTGCTGTTTCCATACAGCACTCTTAAATGTGTCCTTACACTTGAAGTTCAACTCATTGAAGAATACGTTTTATTGCTACATTCACAATATATAATTATAACAACAACAACGAACCCAGCTCTTTACTGTTAATATAAAAGCTGGTATAAGAGTCTTTATGCAACCTTCTCACACTCTGTTTGACTGATGCTGAAGTTACAGTTTCACTCAGTGCATCATGTTCATGACAAATCATCTCCAAGGGTCACCTTTTTCCCGCACTCAGTGATTTTTCAATCTTGTCTGACTGTGACCCCTTAAAATGAAGTAATTCCCCTCTAGCTGCCCCCTTTACAGGTTGCACAGCACTCGAACAAAAAAATAATCCTTCTGAGAGGAGCACCACAGTCTTAACGCTGAAATATGTCAACTGGAAAACATTACTAAAAAGACCCTAAATACAAAGAAAAAAACCATGAACTACGACTTGGATAACTTTGCCCTGTGATTGGGTTTACCCTGGTGACTTGTGGAGTGCGTACCATGCCTGGTTCACCCTCTCAGCCAACATTCGCTGAGTTCCTGGTACAGAACCAATGTGAATTCATTCCATTAAGTATTTGAAGGTGCCGGTCTTTTAAATATATAAAAAGTATAGAGTTTCAGCGTTTTCTCCTGCCTGGGCAGCTCTACATCTTTCCCAAAATCCATCCATTATCTATACACTGCTTAATCCTCACTAGGGTCGCGGGGGACTGGAGTCTATCCCAGCTGACTTAGGGTGAAGGCAGGGGACACCCTGGACAGGTCACCAGTCTATCACAGGGCTACACTTAGAGACAGACAACCAAGCACACTCACATTCACACCTACAGACAATTTAGAATCACCAATTAACCTCAACATGTTTTTGGACTGTGTGGGAGGAAGCCGGAGAACCCAGAGAGAACCTACGCTGCACGGGGAGAACATGCAAACTCCACGCAGAAAGATTCCAGTGCCCCCACCAGGACGCGAACCAGCAACCTTCTTGCTGCAAGGCAACAGTGCTACCAACTGCGCCACCCTGCAGCCCTCTTTCCCAAAATTCTCCTCAAAAACTTTGCATAATTTAAGATTTTCATCCATCCATCCATTATCTATACACCGCTTAATCCTCACTGGGGTCATGGGGGGCTGGAGCCTATCACAGCCGACTCAGGGCGAAGGCAGGGGACACCAGGACAGGTCGCCAGCCCATCGTAGGGCCACACCCAGCCGGAGAACCCAGAGAGAGCCCATGCTGCACGAAGAAACCATGTAAACTCCATGCAGAAAGATCCCGGGTGTCCTCACCAGGACGCGAACCGGCGACCTTCTTGCTGCGAGGCAATGGTGCTAACCACCGCGCCACCTTGCAGCTCCTTAAGATTTTCAATTGTGAAAACTATATATAAAAAATAGAAGTGAACAGCTCCAGATTGAGTTAGATTCTTTTACCAGAAGAGGTGCATAGTGGAGGTCTAATGAAGACATTACTGTATTTGTTTTGCAGCATTCAGTGGTAATATCAGTGGTATAGTGATTTGCTACTTTATTAAGCATATTTGTACAATCCATTAAACATTGTCTTGTTGTAGTGAAATATGTGTGCAGCTTGGTTTAACTCAATATTTCACAAACACACAAAGCTTACTGAGCCTGAAAATTCATGACAGGAAGCGAGAGGTCTCTATTTTTCCTGCTGGCTTTATATATGCGCTGCATTACAAACAAATAAGCGTGTTTAAAAGCAGACAGCTGCTAAAATTAATGGCTGGAAGTCACATTTTGTGCTATATGCAGCTGTGGCAGAACTGCCATAAAGAACGTGAAGCTTGTGACATATACGATGATTAACCTACAGTATTACAACACTATTAATTAAACTGTCAAAGAAGGCTTTTAATTGATTAAATTAATTCAAAAACATTCATTTATCAGCATCTACAAGATTAAACCTAGGCTCACTGTGGCTCTGAGGATGCATGTTTGACGTACAGTATGTTCCTTTTGCCACATTCTGAATACATTTTACAGTCTGGAATAAATCACAGTCTGCTGTTGACTTGTGAGAAGATTCGAGTTGCTTTAAAAACTCAGACATGTTGATTGTTAGATCTTTTGAACAGCTAACATGAGTTGACTTCCATATAAAAATAACTGACCCTGTTTAGCTGCTTCAGCAGTTGATTTACTTCAAAGTTTGTCTTTTTATGTCTGAAAGTGTGTTTGTCAGTCACTGTGACTTTCAATGTGGAAGAGGAATTTTGGCAAATTACATTTTATTCCAATGCAGAAGGATTTTTTGAAATGATTGAACGTATTTTGCTTTGTGTCAATATAGTTTGTACATTAACTATTATAATGACTTATTTCCTGATATCAATCACGAATGCAGTAGTGAATATATTTCCTCTGTTCAGGCCACCACTGATTGACTTTTAAAAATAGTAATAAATTAAAATGACTCTCCTTATTTAAACTAAGCTATGTCTTTGTTCCAATAACATGGCCAACCTGTTAACTCACTATGTGCCTGAGAGTCCTCTAACATCACCGGATGATGCACTGCTGAGAACATATCGGCTGTGGATTGTTAGAAGAATGTTAATTAAATAGATAACTATTGGACACAGGTATTTGTCTTAAACATTTGAAAAGTTTGTTACTTTACATCACATTTGTGAATTTCATCAACATCTCTGATGTTATAGTTGTAACTTTTTAAATGCATCTCTATTCAACATTTAGGAAATGCAGTACAAAAAATAAACCAAAATATGCATGAGCACTAGATTATAGAAATAAGAGCATTGCACATGTCAGGGGTATTGCACAGATTATTTTAAGAATAGAAATACTGAGAGAAGTATTCAGTAAAAGAAGTATTTTAATTTTCTTTGCTACCGTTCCTCATTTTCACTGATGATGTATTCCCTTTAAGGGCAATGTGTAACTTTGCAAAGATGTCTGGAAACAATATAATAATTACTGATATAGAAACTAAAATGTAGATCTGTTCAATTGATTAGACAAGTAACAGAAGCTGATAGTTAATTAATCATTAAACAATCATTTAATGAAAAAAATGTCTAACATTTGCTGGTTCCAGCTTCTCAGAGAAGGGAATCAGACATTTTTTCTCATTTACATGACTGGAAATTAGTGTTTGAGACTATAGACTGGAGCCCAAAAAAATCATTTGGCCTCTTACTACTAATTACTGTGTTTTTCCTCTTGCGTCTTTGACATTTTATGTACTAAGCAATTAATCAGTAAAATAAAAAATAAAAAAATCAGCTCAGAATCACATCTAGCAAAAACTGAAAATGAGGTTATTGCTTTTCTAAATCAACATGAAATTATCAGTATTATTAATAATATTAGTAAAAAATAATATATGATCTAACAGTAATAGTTTTTTGTTTGGTTTTGCTTTGGCTGCATTTTATGTCTGAGAGTTTTACACATTAATTGTAAACAAGACTGAAACCAGCGAACAGTAAAAGAAACTACATAAAAATTTTAATAAATCTAATAATTTCTAAATTATTTTCCATGTAATTATCGACTAGTTTGAATTATTTAATTGAGCAAAGTGCAAATTACTGAAGTCTGTGCTGTTTTTTTTTTTTTTTTTGCATCTTCATGTCATATCCAATTTTACCACTGGGGGGCACCAATTCACAAATTATAGTTGTAAAGCAAAGTAGTCTTATTTTATTTGCAAAAAAATAAAAGAAGTAAAACCCTGAGTCAAAATTTGAAAAACACAGAAAGACAGCAGTGAGAGGCTTCACCAACACAGACTAAGAGCTCCTTAATTAGAAACTTACTAACCTGTACCGTATCCTATGATTCCAAATGACTGCAGATTTGATCCAAAAGCTCTGCGACAGTTACAGAAATAATATCAGAAGCCTCTGCTGCAGGGTGTCTGCATCAAGTTAATTAACTCAGTGTTTTTTATGTAAGTATTTCCTCCATCCCCCGTGTTGTCCTGAGGCTGCTGTTCATCATGCTCACCACATGATGGCAGCAACACAACATCCCACTTCCAGACACCCAACTAAACCTAGTCCTGAGTTACAAAGCTCCCACAGGATGAACTCAGAGCTGCAGCCTCTGAAATCTGACAATCTAAATGTCAGCCAACCTGCAAGGGACACGGAAAAAAAGGGGGTGTGATTCTCATTCATTTTTAGGCGTAATGAATATCAGTCACCATTCACAGCTGCATAATGCAGCTTTTGATACAGTGCAGCCGTTTGGGAAGGACAGCAGGCTGGGAACAAGAAGATAAAGAAAGATCAATGTCGCTTGATTTCCTGTTGTAGCTAAGCCGGAGAATTAATGTAACAAAGTCTAGCTTTTCCAGCACTGTGAGGCTGTTCAATAATTAATCGGCTTCATAACATTCATCTCATTCATCAAGTCGCTAAGTCACATCAAGCTAAAATCTTTTTTTTTTTCTCTTAAAGAAATGAATAGTGGGATGATGACACCCAGAACCAACACCCTGCTGCTGTCTGACATTAAGATGCATGTGATGGACCTCAGAGGAGCGATGGTCATGAATAACAGTTTTTTTACTTGGAGACTTGTATTTTCGGCCTGCTTAAAATAGCTTTTTACAAGAAATGCGAGCGTGCGACTGGGAAAATTAAAAATGAAGTACGGCGGTGGAAAGACATTTGCTTCCTTTGTTTATGAGCACATGCATATGGGTCACATTATTGGCCAGAAACCAAAAAACAAACATGGGGGATGGTGATACATCAAGAGAGATTTACAAGCACCTGTGGAGTTTAAATTGGTGCGCTGGTGCGTAAAAAACAAAAAAATTTCTCTTTTTTTTTTCTGTCCCAGTCAGTGAAATATTCATATTCTAAAAGTAAAACTATCCAAAGCATCCTAATACTATTCCATGAGCTGAGCAAAGCAGCCGTGCGTACACACACACACTCAGACGTGCGCCTGAATACATTTTCATCTGTGTTTCTGTTCCTGTTACTACCTCTTCAGCTGCTTTCACATGGGAACTTTTCTTGCGAAGCGTCGCGGCTACAGCTGCACTGACAGTCAACCACAAGGTAATCTGACAGTAAACAAGGGGTCGACTGTAAATTTCCCTTCAGTTCGCATCACCTGCACGAATCGGTCTTTATGCAAAACCACTTTAGGCAACATCACTTACTGGCAAATTCTAATCTGGGGCTGCCTCACCCTGTCAGTGTACAGAAACGTTTAAGAACTGTAGAGAAATAATGCAATAAAGCTTGAAGCCCTCCTTACTAGCTGTAGAGCTTGCTCAGAACAGCTGAATTCACTGAGAAATGCAAGTAAGCTATATGTGATGTGAAGAAGCCTGATTGGTTACCAGAGGGGGTCCTGTTTTTTCTAGTGAGCCATCTGTCACTGAGTTCACACTCTCCCCACTTACCACGGAGCTGCCAAAAGTCTCGAAAACCAAGAACACACACATTCAAATACAAAGACGTATAGCCTACTAGGCACTCACTCAACCCTGCGCACAGTCAGCTTGACGAGTTAATCAAAGCCCGAGCAAATGCTAATTACTGCAGGCCCGAATGGAAGTCTGTTGACCTTCAAAATTAAAGCTCAAAGCGAAAGGTTTTAAGTTATTTTTGGAGTTAGAAAGTATTATCTTGGATGGTTTAGTTACAAGTGTGGTGGACTGGTACATTGCTGTTTATGTTTACACTGATCATCCTGTATCTCATAGCATTAATACTGTTTACACTGTTCCATACTGTCTGTCCTTCACACTGTTCATACACTTCATGCTATTAACACTATTTAAACTGTTTACACAGCTCATTCCACTGCCTATCCCTACCTGTGCAGTTAGATTATCTACGTTCTATTGTATCCATGTCTATAGATTCATACATTAGCATGCTCGAACCACTCTGTCCACTCTGTTCTGTTTAATTAATTCCACGTGGAATGCACTTAACGGCTGCTTTTGCACTTCTGGTTAGATGCTAAAGTGCATTCTGTTGTCTTAGTGCGTCTTCTGTACAATGACAACAAACTTGAATCTAATCTAATCTAAAAGGTTCACTTACATTCAATTGAGGTCGTGCCTGTAGACAATAGTATCTGTATTATTCAAGTGCAGCCATACAAGCAGCTACGCACTTTCATTGTTCCCCCCTTACGAAACTCAACACTTCTCGCCGAAGTTTTGCGATAAAAGACTTGAGTGAAGTGAAACATAATTCCTCCTAACATAGTGGAGGTGTTTGCGTTTCAAACACGTGGAAAAGTACAGAGTTTGCGTTTACTACAGCCAGCGCCAAATAACAGTCAGTGAGGTCTGGAATAAAGGCTCTGGTTTGCTATTTGATCGTTTAAAACTCCAATTCCACTTTGAAACGGGATAAGATTTAGCGAAGAACACATTATTACTGTTCTGCCCACAACAAAGGATCTTGAAGAGTAATCCTCAGATTTGCATGAAATTTAGTGTGAATGCGTCTCATCTCTAGAGTTTTAATTCCACTTGAGCTGTCATTTAGTGTCACTGACAGGCCAAAATGTGTAATTGTACACAAAAAAAAAATATCCAAATCTAATTGACGGATTACCATTAAAGCCACTCAGAAAAATTTAAATCTTTCCATTTTTTTTGGAAGCTTTCCTTTAGGAACACCCAAGCATCTACATCTCATAATTTAAGAGAAACCTTGCTGGGAAATTCAGTGAAACAACCTGAGGAGATAAACCCTTTTTGATTTTACTAACCCCATTGTGTTACTTCTTGGGTCACATTTAGGGCATTTGGGGAAAAAAAATGTAATCCCACAACTGAAAACACAATGGATGAAATAACCACCTCCTGCAAAACTGTTGGGAATTTCTACAAATACCAAAGAGCTACTGGTGATGTAGCCTTTGTTTTCACTACTCACCAATCTCTTTGCCCAGTCCTGAACGCAGGATGGCTCCAGCAGAAGTGACCACTGCGCAGGTCTTGAAGTGGCTCTGGTCCTGCCTGCTTTGCAGCTGCTCCAGGGGGACGGACGGCACCAGTCGAGCCCAGCCCATCGAGGAAAAGGGCTGCTCGGACCCGTCCACTGTCCTCAGCCGGGCCTGAGCTTTCATCTGACACAGCAGCTCCTTGGCACTCTGAACTGCCCTGCGTTGCCCCTTGTAGGAAACGTGGTGCTTGTTCGCGCTCATGTAGTCCTTCATGGCGCGCTGCAGACGGGGACTCAGCATACCGGCGGATACGCGGCCCCTCCACAGCCGCTGCACCACGGAGGCCGACTTGGAGAAATAATATTCCTCCAGATCGGAGGAGTCTCCACCGGCCCTCCTGTCTGCTGTAGTCCTCATTCTGTTTCCCAGCTCTTCCTCTTCCCTCTCATCGTCTTCCTCTTCCTCGCCACCTTGGTAACGAGTGGCGCTGATTTGGTTCTGATACTCTATGGTTTGAGATGTTCTCTCCCGACTCTGGACTACAGGGTCTGAGTGGGAACCTACATTCTCAGTACCGAAGGAGGACCAGGCAGCCAGGCTCTGTGGGTCCAGGTAGTCCTGCCGGCTCGCTTCCTGGCTCCCATAAACAGCGTAAGGAGCGCTGTTTGGGTTGTGGCTCACCTCCATGCTGGTCTCTGGTGTCGTAGAGCTGGCGGAAGGCTCCAGCTCAAGCTTATCTCTGGGATACGTTGTGGTCAACGGCAAAGCTAGCTCAGGTCGGGAGCCCAGGACGGCATGCTGCTGATGGGAGGCCTGTATGGAGGCCAGACGACGCGTGTCGGGGTGCTGGGAGAGTAAAGAGCCAGCAGAGGTCAGGGGCTCATCCACACGAGCATCCAGGAAGTAAGACAGCAGGGCGAGGAAGAGGAGAACCCAAGCCAGCATTGCCACCAGCACCAGCCTCCGCCACTGCCTCATGCTGGACTTCATCACCTCTCACTCACATGCACACTGTTCAGCTGGCCCACCAACAACAAAGCCCCACGGCCAGGACGTAGCCCAGAGGTCAGCTGGAGGGCCTGTAAAAGAAAGCGCAGAGTTTTATTGCACAGGGGAGAAAGAAAGGAGAAAAGAAAAGTGGATTCTTACAGCAAAAGTTTGACACACTCACCTGAAGTGATGCTTCTATTTCTGCCTGCCCATGTGTCCGCCAGGATACAACAGGACCTTGAGAAGGAGGAGGGGAGCTAATTAATGGAGTCAAGAGTGCACATACATGAGAGGGTGTGTGTGCATGAAAACACACGGCTCACACTGCAGGAAAACATGTTCTGCAAGAGGAGAACTTGGCTGCTTTCCACTCATAACCAAAAAAGAGAATTTTTCAAGACTACAATCCCATTCATTAACTGGAATCAAATTTACAGCTTCCCTCATGTAATATTCAGCACTTTAGTCACAACTGCAGAACTAAAGACGGCTCCACAACAGCTGCAACGGACAACAAAGATTCAATGCAATTTGAATTATCTGATAAAACCCACAAATTAATGCGCAGAAACATCTCTGGATTTCTCTCGGGAACTGGTTAGTGTGAGGTTAAATCGGATTTTTCAGCCCGACGCAGACTCCGTTGGTGAAAGGTGTGTTCAAATGGCGCTTTTCAAATAACTTCCACTCCAACCAGGCCTGAGGGAGTTTTTTCTCCCTTCAGACATTAGCACTCGATTGTGACTGATGAGGTAGTTTGTCTCTACTTTTGCCAGCATGTACTTAACTCTAAATTGGAGCTTAAAGAAAACCGTTTATTTGTTTAGAAGTGGAAACATTTAATACATGATTTGTATGACGTTATATGCATTTGTAAGCTGGTACAAGGACATTTTAAGTGTTATTAACTTTAATTATAGCTTGTTTGAAGACATATATTTTATGGTATTACAAGGATGTTTTGCTATTGCTGTTCATGTGGTCCATAAAAACCAGTAAAATATGCCTCTCCCTATTGTCCAGCGGCCAACTTAGCATCATTAGTACAATAAAAAATAAAAACATGTGATTTGCAGTCCCATAAAACACAAAAAAGCAGCAAATCTTTGCATTTTTACCGTAAATATTTTCATTTTTCTTTCAAAAATGTAATGAAATGACTACTCAAAGACTACATTTAACATTATTACTGAATTTAACGTCTTCAAATAACTCAATTAGTACAGTCAGGACAACAGAGGCATGTGAAAAAAAAATTCAATAAAATGATGTTTGTTTGTTTTTTATAGCATATTGTTAACACTTGTTTTTATTTTATTGGCTAATCTATTAGGGAGACTCTTTATTTCACATGAGGTGCTGTGTTCTCCATCAAAAATGCTGCAGGACATCTTGTGTAATACTCGTGTGTTTTTGTAAAATTTAAACCCCAACTGCTTTTAAACAAAAACGAATTATCCAAATAATAAAAAAAAAAAAAGTACAACTGCTCTGCTTGTTTTTATTTCCATATTTCTTTATACAGATACAGATCACCTCCAGAGCCTCCACTGTCCCAGCGCTCCACTGCAATGCACTGAGATTGTTACACTCCAAGAACCTTCAAGACATGCGCTTCAACATGACACCTTTGTTTATTTCATTACTGCAGCAAAAAATAAACCCACAATAATTACAAAATAACAACACCAATATCAGGTCGACTTATTTTTTTGCTACGGCTTTGATAATACTCTAGTGCACAAAACGTTGGGCTCACTGATGGATTACAGAGTGAAACCGAAGGTGAATAAATTAAGCATTAAATTGCCTCACATCAGAGGACTACAATCCTCTCAACCACACGTAATTATGAGTTTTGGTCTCTTAATGTGGGAGCATTTCTCTCTCAAGAGAGCGAGCAAGAGTGGCAGACTGAGGCAGGAGAAAGAAAAAAAAAAAAGGCTCCTGAGTGTTAAAGCCTCCTCTAGTCCTAATTACAGCTTCCTGTCTCTGTGGCTGCCGGGTCCTACAGACTGCAGAAGTGATCTCAGGTGCCCCTGTGCTTCCCCCTCCTCTCTTCCCCAGAACAGCCAGACATCCAGGCCTCCCGCTCAGGGGCCACACAGGAGGCCAAAGCTCATCCGCTGACCCTGGTCAAGCAGGAGGAAAACAGCAGGGAGCAACTGGGCCAGAGGGAGAACAGACAGTATGAGAGAAAGAAAATACTGGATGGAAACCAATGCAAGCAGCCACGCACGTCCGCACAAACACACACGTCTGATTACTTTGTGAAAAACTTACAGCATGTTCTGCCTTCAGGCCTCGAGGCCGCGTTCAGGTGGGATAGGTGTTAGGCAGTAATCTGCTGTGCAGCAGTTTCGACATGTCTGCCACGCTGGGGTCAAATGTTACTCATTGGAAAATGTGCCATTTAACACCTGGAAATAACAACGCGCCAAAAAAACAAAGAAGACAAGCAGGAAAACACACAGCTGCCCGGTGGCAATGTTATCAACAAGCAAATGTCATCTATATGCACCACTGCTCCACACAACCCCACCGTGGATTGTGTGTGTGTGTGTGTGTGTGTGCGTATGAGCGCCCTGAGGCGTGTCGGGCGAGCCTGTGTGTGATGTTGGTAGTTTGCCTCACCTGGTAGCAATCAGGATGTGTGCTTCAGTAAGTGCGGCGAAACAACATAAGTGTGTGGCACAGATGGAAAGGCGGGGGTGGAGGACAGAGCGAGTCTTGTGAGGGCTACACAAAGAAACAACAAAATGGGAAACATGGAAAAGAGACGCTGCCAGACAGCAGAAGATGACTAAATGACTTGGCAGAGGGCCGTGATGGACAAAGGAGCTGAACAGAATATAAAGCAAAGATCTTTAAAAGAAGAAACCAAAATACAATGCAAATACACCAGAATAAAGAAAAACAGGAAGAGCTTTCTCGTTCAGGAAGGGGAAATGTTAGTAGGCCGTTCATACTTCAAGAAGACATGCAAATTACTCCGAGAACATCTTTACGAAGTCTGCAGCACCTCTTTCGCACAAAGTGAGAAAAGACAATCAAATACAGATATGTTGCAAGTAACACAGACTACAGCGGAAAAAAGTTTTTAAGGAACTGTTCCCCGTGGACACTGAAAAGTGACGAGCATGCCCAGACATGGCCGGATTACAGCTGCTTGACTCAAGTTACTCAAGTCAACTAGTCATCTGCTGTGCAAAATTTATGCTGTTTTTTCTGTTTGTTCAAACAATCAGATACCATAATTCATATACGATTATGCTTACTCTTATTCTTATTATTGTTATATTGTATTTAGACTTGGGCTGCAAGGTGGCTCGGTGGTTAGCACCGTCGCCTCGCAGCTAGAAGGTTTGCATCCCAGTGAGGACACCCGGGATCTTTCTGCGTGGAGTTTGCATGTTCTCAACGTGCAGTGTGGGTTCTCTTGTGTGTTGTGTCTCAATATGTTGAGGTTATTTGGTGATTCTAAACTGTCCGTAGGTGTGAATGTGAGTGTGCTTGGTTGTCTGTCTCTAAGTGTAGCCCTGTGATAGACTGGTGACCTGTCCAGGATGTCCTCTGCCTTCGCCCTAAGTCAGCTGGGATAGACTCCAGCCCCCACGACCCTAGTGAGGATTAAGCGGTGTATAGATAATGGATGGATGGAAATAGCATGTTATTTTGCTCATTTATCTTATTTATATTTATTAAATGTAACATGTGTGAGCTACTGGAAACTTTGAATTGCCACAAGGGGATGAATAAAGTATGTATCGATCCATCTATTACATATATCGATAACGTGTATGTATTTGGTAGCATTTTCTCACTTTGCTACTTTTTATTTTTACTTCCTGTTATCTTAGGGGTCAATTTGACCTCATTCAAAGTTTAACATCTCTAAATAAGTCATCGACATCATTTTTCAGCTTTATGTAAAGGGCTATTTACACATAAACTTGGTTAACAATTTTAATAATGACATTTTCTGGAGGTTTAAATTGCTTCAAAGCATAAAAGATGTCAGTAGATCTAAAGGTCATAGAAGGGTAAATGCTTTGCATGTGTCCGTGTTCACAATTGCTCCATTTGCTTGCGTATTTGCATGTTTTTTTTTTTTTGTAAACTGCAGTGCGTTGAGCTGTCAGGGCCACTGTACATTTGCCCTCAGGAGAATAATTATGAGGTTTATGACCTGCATGAGAGAAAAACACTTAAAAAGGAGGCAAATGCGGTGAACACAGCGCAAACCTGCTACAATGAGAGTAACAAATGACCTCTCAGTACACAGATCAGCTACGAGGGCCGAACAATTCATCAATTTGAAATCGCCGTTCGAAACAATGCAGTTAGAAAATTGCAAAGGCTGCAATTTATAATATATTGTATGTAGCACCTCTGACCCAGGGTGTATACTGTTGGGTCAATTGTTTGACGAATTCATCCCATTCTTCATGTGTGACAGTCACACTTTCAATGGTGTCTCATGTGGTAGAGCTCCATCTCGTTTCAAATCTATTACACAGTCAATACTAGACTGAAGCTCGACTTGTTCTTCATTTGGAATACAACATACGTCAGAAATGTTATTGTTAGCTATTTCCCCCCAATCATTCAGCCCTATCAGATACTATAAACACAAAGTTTAGTAGTAGCTGATAGGGCTGAATGATTGGTAGTGACGATGAGGGTCAAGTGGAACTCCAATCCAGCCACTCACAAACATCTAAACATACAGTACGGACGTAATAAGAATCACTTAAATGTATAAAATTGTGAAGACATGTTTACTCCAAGCTATGACAACAACATATAAACAGTCTTACATTTGACTGATGTTCAGCATTCTTTTACTATTTTTGTCAAAACAGTTTGTTGTAGTCTCTGAGCCAAGAAACATTTCAGCTTAAAACCTGCCACAAAACTTAAAACTGGGGATGTTATATTTCAGTGCTACTACTGGTGCTAATTAGTAAGTGCTGAGGTTCTGGCTAACTGTTTCAACCCATATCTGAAATCACCCACTAAACTCTACATCAGGGGTGTCCAATCGTGGTCCTCGAGGGCCACCATCTTGCATGTTTTAGATGTCTCCCTCTTCCAATACACCTGAGTCAAATGATCAGGCTCGTTATCAGGCTTCTGCAGAGCTTGATGATGAGCTGATCATTTGAATCAGGTGTGTTGGAAGAGAGAAACATCTAAAACATGCAGGATGGTGGCCCTCGAGGACCAGGATTGGACA